TTATTTGTCTAGAAGTGTCTTTATTGACACTTTCAATGATATAATTTTCTTATAAGATATTGTGTTAACTTGTGATACTAACTATAATAACATAATAACTGTTATTATAATGTCCAGAGTGTGTTAATCCTATAATAAGAAATGCACTTGATATAATAAAATACAAACCAAATATATTGGTGAACATTACTGAAACTGATGACCTCTCGACAAAGTCTTATTTAAAATGTGTTGTCTTTGAGTACATATAAGTGCAAAAGTGTTGTACATCTAAAATACTGTGAATGCATACAATTTGTTAGGGGATCTCAAATCAATGAACTCAATAGAAGTCAATTACTTTATATAAACACAGAGTAGATCTTAACATTAAACTGAATTTTTTGTCAAAATTGTTTTCTTAAATAACATTATTTTGTTAGTGTTTGCAGTCTTGAACTCATTTAGTCCATAGAAACACAACTAATAAGAAGTTTTATAATAGACTGGAAGTCGTCTCATGAGTGCTATTTATGTTCATTAGAGTCACATATAAGTCCACTAAATAAGACATTTTACCACTTTTTCATATAAATCTAAACATTTCACTTATATTATACAAAGTAAATACTAAATCATTTCAATACTTTATTGAAAAAATGCCAGTTCAATGTCATGAAAAAGTGAAATAAAATTTTAATTATTTATCAGATTTAATTAATCCGTTGAAATAAACTAAATTCAATAAATATTCAAACGACATTTAATTCATATTTTTTTTATAAATAGAGATTTTAAAATTGAATAAAAGTTTATATTATATAAATTTTAAATCACAATAACCATTGAATAATATCTTAATAAATACATAGTTTTCTATATCTAACAACAATACATTTATCTTACATATAATTTAAATAAATAAATAATATAAAGATAAAATAAGACAATGAATATTTCACAAATTATCTTATATAAAAACATAACGTGTAGTAATATGTTTACTATTAGAACATGTTCAATACAAAACTTAATATAGATTCTAATTATAAAATAATCATTTTCTCAGATGTTATAATGAAATAATTATTTCAAACAAAAAGTGCACAAAATGTCATTATGTCTTAGAACTTCATGTTAATAAAAGACATAATATAAATATATATCACATGATGATGACTATTTTAATTAAACTTTAGAAACTATCAATTATTTCCGTTTATATAATAATAATCAAGATTTAAATGTGTGGATAGAGTGAGGCCCCATTCCATCGTCAAAAGTCTATAGGTTTGTAGTGTTTGTGACATTATTTTGGTAGAAACACGAGACGTCTAATGTATTCATTTGGTTATCGATTGTCTCCAAAGAGTTTGATTTCATTCCCAACAAGAATTTAATTATATTTTTTGCATCGTTTCTAAAGTTATCGTTGAGCCAGAAGTAGACAAATGGACTGTCGGTTTGCAAACAGATTTTTGTTAAAAACAAAACCAAAAAATACTCGTTTCAAATGTACTTACTTATAGCACACTGAAGACATTGCCAACCAATGACACTGTAGTATAAATAAGATAGTAATAATTTTTATACAAAAGTTTAAATAAATAGTTAAATATGTTGTTTTATAGAAATGGATAATTCTTAAAATCAATATGACTCTAGGCTATTATTTCACAAATATATTCCCTAATATTGGTGCCTAAAAACTTTTATTTTAACAAAAAATTAGTATTTGTCTCAAATATATGAAATGCATTCAAATGTAAACCGGAGGACAATTAGGACTGAATAATAAAATAATTCATTTTTATATGAATACGACAAATATTCAGTAAATAAAAATTAGGACAAAATATTCAGTTATTTCGGTTCACATGAACGGAAAGATAAACAAAAGGAGTATATCTTTTGGCAAAAACTTTAATGGATTGTATGACAAACGAATGGTTTTAATTAAATTCAATAGAAATTTATTATATTATACTGTATAAACATTTTGTGCAATGAAATATAAGCTAGAAATTTATAGCTTTTGAAAGTCTCTCGTTTCTATTACTATAAATAGTAATACACTATTTTTAACTCAATTTCTTTTATTATTTTTGTTTCAATTAAAATATGAAATTTATTTTGTAATAACGAAGTAAACAAACATTAAATCACATCGTATTCACTGAACAACTATTTATTACACAGAATTAGTTAACGTTTTCTGTTTTATCTCACAGAATGTGACTAATTATGAAAAGATATCATTAAATAAAAGTCACAAATAAATAGTTTTACTTTAATTATAAAAAGTATATCCTTTTGAATTTAGTGAAATACATATTTAGAGTTAAGAGTAAACATAATATAATTATATTATAAATATGTTCGTAACTATATTTTAAAATAGATTTCAATTAAGTCTAATTTTTATTTCACATTAATTTAATTCATTTAAAAACTTTATGCAATTTTTAAATATGTTTTATGCTTGCAAACTTATTATTGTGAAATAAGTTTTATATTTATATTCATTAAATGTCTGGTATTTCACATTCAAACCGTTATCTCATTCTCTCTCTCTCTCTCTCTCTCTCGCCCATACCTCTCGTCAATTATGAAGCGATTCAATGATTTATATCTAATGAATATTTAATGAAATATTTATAATACAATAACGCAATGTTTATGTAATGTAATGTAATGTTTTCAGAGATTATTAATTAGATATAAAAGTCATTACAATTGTACAATAGGTATGCATTATGTCAAACTTTTTTGACATTTATCATATTAATCAAACAAAAACTGAATACAAATAGATTTAAAAATTATGACAAAAATATAAACAAAATAATTATTAAAATTTGTTTTAAAAATAACCTCATTTATGATAAGATGTGTTAAAAGCACGTAAATAGGATTTACTACGAATATAAATGTATAAAAATACAGTATTTGATATTTGTTTAATTAAATTATTAGCAAAATGTAGTGGCTAACTATATTTTTCTGAATCGACAAAAATATATTTCGCAAACATTAAGTCACGTTTAGGAAATCAACCAAAAAAATAATTGCGAAAAAAATATCTAAACTATTAAGCACTGAACAGATATTACTTCATAGAGTGTAAGGCAAATAAGATCAACCGGGATAATACGGTAATGCCGTTAAATATATTATACGTTTGTGTATATCATATGCGATCAAAAGTGGGCTGAAATGCTATTTCGATGTTTTCAGTCAATTAAAGCTTAGAGTCAGATATATGTAGCACTTAATGGCAACTAATTCTTTATTTATCCATTTCTATGATCTCTTTCACAAAAACTTTTACGATGTATAAGAAAACAAGAAATAAAATCTCAGATTAATATGAATGTTATATAATCACCACAAGAAATACTCTAAAATTAAATTTAGAGATTTGAAAGTCACCCAAAATGTAGTAAACGTGAAACGGCAACCTACAAGTTGTATGCATAAAGCAATGAAAGTTTTTTGTTTTAGTCTACAAATAGATATAAATTGCAATGTTATAGTGTACTGACCAACAAATACCAAATATCAAGACGATGAGCACCAGTAGGAGAATACGGCGACGCTTTTTGTACGATAACTCAGTCCTTTGCTCTTCACTGACCACTGAACACACGTTTCCGAGCGATGCGATTGTGAACCCAATCCTTATGTAGACGATCGCCGATATGGCTGTCAATTCACAGACAATACATTAGTGTTTTCACTATAATTCTTTGCAATCATTTGTTACATTTTAATTAATCATTCATTTATGTTTTGCCAATATGTGTTTATGTATATACGGTTTAGTCTTACTAAATGTTTTCTACAATTATTTCTGTACTCTATCCGTACGTCACATTTATGTGATTTATGTGATTATTGTAAAAATGTAATCATTTAAAAGCACGAATATGTTTTGCACACAAACTAACATTTTATTATTTAATCAATTACCGTAAATATTTAAGCTATTTAATTTAAAACACAAATAATTAAATATTAATTGAACTTATCAATTATTCTACACAACGTTTTATAATAATGAATTGTAAATATTTGAAAGTAAAGAATATAAAGCAACTTACTCCTATAAATAAGATAAGTTGTACTGCATTTATTTTTATAATGTATTTATAAGTGTTATTTTAAGACTCGTTGGATAAATTTTTTATTTGTTTGTTTCAATGTATTCATAAATAATTTATAATATCCTATTTTGTAAAAGCCGATAGTAAATCTAATTTAAAAATTACAAACAAATGATAAATATTAAAATTAAACTAAATCTTAAAATACTTTCAAAATAAAACAATAAACAATTTAAATCAATAAGATTTCGACATTTTATATATAATAATATTTTCAGTTTAATAATTGAAGTTTCTTTTGATAAAAGCATTTTTCGGTGATATTTTTGACACTTTGACAGAATTGTCAAAAAACAAAGACTTATTTAATATTTTATATATTTTACTCATTATTTGAATCGATGGCACAATTTTCAGAGAA